TCTCCAGGGATTGGTCCCTTCTGACAACATGACCAAAGGAGGTGAGACGAAGTCTGGCCGTTCTCACTTCCTAGGAGCATTCCGGCTGCACTTCTTCCAGGACAGATTTGTTCATTCTCCTGGCAATCCATGGTATTTTCAGATTCCTCGCCAACACAATTCACAGTTCTTCTTCGGTCTTCCTTATTCATTTTACCTGGATCCACAATCAACACCCATAGAACAAGCAATCAAGAAATCAAGTGTCTTTATTTGCTGTCCAGCTTTCACATGCATATGAGGCAATTGAAAATATCATTGTTTGAATTAGTCTTTATGGTTAGTTAGACCTGAGTCGTCAAAGTGACATCTTTGCTCCCTAACACTTTAAAGAACCCTTTTGCAAAAAAAAAAAAAAAAGAAGGTGGGGACCAGGTTTGCTGGTCCAATAGAGCCTGGTGAAACCACTGAGACTATGGCCCCTAGCTGCCCTTCAGGTCTGGAATTGAACCCACACCTGTGGTTTCCAGCCAAACAAAGTACAGGCAAGTGAGTTAAACATTTACCTCAAGTAGACACACACCCTGGAGAGAACAATCATGGGAGAAGGAAGGGCTGCTTATGCACAGGGAGACAGCTCAGGGCGCAGAAGAGTATGGAGGGATGGACACTGGGAAGAGGTAACTATGGGGAGGAAGTGGGAGGGGAGCTGTTGCATTGTAAATTTTGGTCAATGACACGAGACAAAGTATATGTGAACTGCTGTATGAAAAGTGAATTTACTCTGTAAATCTTCACCCAAATCAAAATAAAATTTAAAAAAAATATATGGAACAGGAAAAAAAAAAAAAAAGAGAGCCCTTTTGCAGCAGATTTGCCCAATGCAGTATGACATCTGATTTCTTCACTTCTGCTTCCACGGATATTGATAATGTATCCAAGTAAAATTAAATTCCTGACAACTTTAGTCTTTTCTCCATTTATTGTGATGCTGCTTATTGGTCCAGTTGTGAGGATTTTTGTGTTCTTTATGTTGAGGTGTAGGGAGCTCTGGTAGCATAGTGACTAAGACACTTGCCTGCTAACCAGACGGCTGGCGGTTCAAACCCACCAGCCACTCCTCGGAAGGAAGGTCGGGCAATCCTACTTCCGTAGTGATAGTGCCTCGGAAACCCAAGGAGGGGTCGCTATGTGTCGGGTTTGACTCGACAGCACATAACAACAACATGTTGAGGTGTAATCCATACTGCAGACTGTAGTCTTTGATCTTCATCAGTAAGTGCTTCGGCTAATCTTCACTTTCAGCAAGGATGGTTGTGTTATCTGCATATCGCTGGTTGTTAATGAGTCTTCTGCAATCCTGATGCCGTATTCTTCTTCAGATAGTCAAGCCTCTTAGATTAATTGCCGGATAGTTGTCATTTTTTCAGAGCCTCCTTCCCTGCATCACATTTGAATTATCCCGTAGCTCAGCTATTCTACTTCTGTGTCCTAAATGGCTATTGAGAACATACCGAGTGTGCTTTGCCAGTGGTGGAGCTTGTCAGACAGAGTTCAGCAAGATGCTAACCTCTATAAAGTGTGCTTATAGGGGAGATGGACTTATGTCCCCAAGATACAAGATAGCAAGTACCTGGAAAGAGGGGAAGCAGAAAGGACAGTGTGGACGTACTTAGCACTGTGATGCAACTCCACACTTCTTTGTGAGCTCTTTGGAGGCCACGGTTAAGGTAAGGCCCCTACCCTGAAGGCACTTCCGATTCACTAAGAGAGGCAACCAGTATTAACCTGCAAAGGTGAAAGAGGTGCTATGCTCAGTGCTGGACACTTCAATGCCATCACGTCCATATCCACATACTCTCAGATGCCAGAGGCCTGCCATTCACCTAGCCAGCCTGGTTCAGTGACCTCTATGCTCCAGCAATAGCTGTCAGCACCATTGGTTTCTAGAGTTTTGAGCCTGCTTAAATGAGCTTTCAAGATGAGTAATAATGGCAGAACCTGCCATCTTCATGCATCTCTCCTAGGTGAATGCCAGCAGCTCTGAGAGTGCCAGGAAAGCTGTGTGCTTTGTCCAGAACTGTTGTATTGCCTGGCTTGAGAGCAGCCAAGAGTATGTATGAAATAATTGGACAAAAAAATCCTGGCGTCTCTAAATTACTAGACAGTTTCCTTTTCCTAGCAGTGAGGTACTCTATTAACTTATGCTCTCCCCCCTGCCCTACCCCCAAAGACACACACTGTTTCATAGCCATTAAGGAGAAGAAGGGACAGAAGGAGCCTGGGGGAATTTTCTGGGTGTGGGGAACGCACCTGGATTAAGGTTTGTGTTATATAGGTCATTTGTCAAAACTTACTGCATGGTACACTTATGACTTGTGCTGTTTATAAATTTTACTTTGACAAAAGGACTGTAAATCAGAAATGAACTCTAGTCATTTATATGTAGGCTGAGGTGTGTAGGGGTGAGGTGGACTAATGCCTGCAACTTACTTTGCAATGGGTAAAAAATAAGTGGGTTGTTGAATTGATAGAGGGATAGATAAAAAACAAATCCACTAGCCATTGAGTAGATCCTGACTTATAGTGACCTCCATTGGGTTTCTGAGGAGGTAAATCTTTGCAGAAATAGATTGCCCTGCCTTTTCTTCCATGGAGTGGCTGCTGGGTTTGAACCACCAACCTTCTAGTTAGCAGTCAAATGCCTTAAGCACTGCCCCACCAGAGCTTCTTAGAGGGATGGATAGCAAAATGTTAGTTACAGAGTTGAGGTGGTGGGTTTATGAATGTTTACTGTGATTCGACTTTTCTGCTAGCTTGAAAATTTTCATAGTAAAATGTTGAAACAGAAGAACTACAAATAACCAAACACTTACATTCTCCAGAGCTTTGCATAACTGATTCCCCTAACAGTCAGTTTTCTTGGGTGACACAATTTTATTTCTAAGAACTGCCTCGCCCTGCTTCCTAAAGTTGGTGAGGATCCTTGGCTTCATGTTTTTACTTTGACCTGAAGGAAGTGTTAACTTGGACTTCATTCAATAGTGATAACTTCTCAATTTGAACTTACGTGACTCTGAAACACAGTGCTTTCTACCCTGTCGGCAGAAGAGTAGGACTCTCAAGCCCAAGACCTTCCTGGTCTTGGGAAATCAGAAAAGGGCTTCCCTTCCTGACCAGAGGGCACTGCTGAACACCAAGGAGTTGTTGAGAAGCGAGACTTAGAGGCTTCTGTATGCGAACTGGCCCAGAGTCTGGGCTCTTGCAGAAAGGAAGCCTGAGTTGGTTTAGACAGAGAGACCTCAGGCTTGTTCATGGACCCTGAAATCCTGGGAAGCCTGGAACTTCTTAGTTCATTTTATGTTAGAGCAACTTCTTGCTGAGTGGAGTAATATCACTATCATTCTTTATATCCCTGTTTATTGAGCATTTACCAAATGACAGACTCTGTACCAAACACCCTGTGTATTCTCTCGTAATAGAATATGAGAGAATTATTATATTCCCATTTTATAGATAGAAAGCCAGATGTCAGAGTTTAAATAATCTCTCCTAGTCTGTCAGTTTGTCGTGCTGTAGTGGCTTGTGTGTTGCTCTGATGCTGGAAGCAAAGCCACTGATATTTCAAATACCAGCAGTCACCCTTGATGAACAGGTTTCAGTGAAGCTTCCAGACTAAGACAGACTAGGAAGAAAGGCCTGGTGATCAGCTACTGAAAATTAGCCAGTGAAAACCTTATGGATCATGATAGACTGTTGCCTAACATAGTACTAGAAGATGAGCCCCTTGACTGAGAAGTACTCAAGATACAGTGACAGCAACTATGGACTCAGACATACCAACAGTTATGAAGCTGGTGCCAAAGCGAACCAAACTCATTGCCATTGAGTCATTTCTGACTCATAGTGACCCCTATTGGGTTTCCAAGGCTGTAAATCTTTACAGAACCAGACTGCCTCTTCTTTCTTCCACTGAAGAGCTGGTGGATTTGAACCACTGACATTTTCAGCCAAATGCCTTAACCACTGCACCACCAGAGCTCCTTTGAAAATGGCACAGGACAGGGCAATGTTTTGCTTTATTATACATAAGGTTGCCGTGATTGGAGCCAGCTCTGTGGCAGCTAACAACAAGGAGTCACACAGCTGGTAAATTGTGGGCAGATAAGCTCTTTAAAAATTTTTGGTTTACAGAGCAATCTTTTTTATTGCACTTCCTAATGCATTTGGGGCAAGTAGAACTAACCTTTACTTCCTCATTAAGAAACTGATGTTTAGAGAACCTAATAGATTAACCCAAGCTGTGTGAGTAATGAGTGGGTGAGAGGCTCAATCAAGATTGGAACCTGACTATATTTAATTTCTGGTTGATTTTTCATGTCATCATGTTGCCTTCAGAGCCAGAGAGCTGGAGAGGGTGAGGAAGGAGTGATGGATGGCAAAGGTCAAGTTGAAGGTCTAGAAGGATTTGAGTGGATAGAGGGTAGGGGTGGAGTGTGCTCAGTAAGGGAACCATATCCTCAAAAGCTAAGAGCTGGATTGAGGGAGACTTGTTTGGGGGAGGGAGGGAGGAACAGACTGGCTGCCCTGGTATGGGGTGAATAGACAGATGAGGGGCCTGATGCCTTTTGTAAAAAGGATAATACACCCTAGTTGGTGGGTTTCCACTGAGGAGTAAATTAAATACTTCAGTTCAACATGCTTGGCATATTGTAGCCACTCCTGCAGTTTTGGGACTTTTCCTGTGAATTTTGAAACCTTTTGGGTAAGGGGAAGAGTTGACCAAGCTGAGGTATTCTGAGCATTCACCTGACAGTGTGGATGGCAGCAGGAGGTGGGGAGGGCCAGCCTGAAGTCCAACCTGAAGGTAGAACAAGAGTTATTTCAAAGGAGTACCCCATGAGTTTGATGATGGCTCAGTTGTGGGCACAGATGTACGCCTTGCTGTTTCCATTGGTTTTTCTGTGACTCAGTTTGTACTGTCTCCCTCCTGACTCACTGGTTTATTTTTGCCTTTGCAGGAGCCTGTGTGAAATGCAGCAAAGGGGTCTTTGGGGCTGGCCAGGCCTGCCAAGCTATGGGGAACCTCTACCACGATGCATGCTTCACCTGTACGGCCTGCAGTAAGTGTGTGTGCAAATGTGTTGTGTGTGTGTAAGGTGGGGCATCAGGATCAAGAGGGGTATCTTAGTTTCTTGGAGCTGCTGCAACAGAAATACCACAAGGGGGTGATTTTAAAGAACAGAAATTTATTTTCCCACAGTTTAGGAGGCTGGAAGTCTGAATTCAGGGTGCCAGCTTTAAGGGACCACTTTCTCTGGCCACTCTGGGAGAAAGTCCTTGTCTCAGCTTTTCTAGCACTCTTCTTGGTGTTCCTTGAGAGCTCCACGTAGCAGCTAACGCCCCCTTCCCCCCCATATCTCAAGTCATTCAGTTTAAGGCACACCTTACATGGTACAGCCTTGTTAGCATAACAAAGAAAACCCTATTCCCAAATGGGATTCCATCCACAGGTATAGGGGTTAGAATCGTATCACATAGTTTTAGGGGACATGATTCAAACCACAGCAAAAGGGAAACCCATTCTTCCCTGATGGACAACTGGCCCATGGCCCTCCCCAATCCCATAGAAAGGAGGACAGTTCTTTAGAACAGGCCTTCTTCCACCACATGAGGCTGGTCAGGGTAAGGTGACTTATCACTGGGTACCAAAGAATACTTGTGACATGCTTTGGTGGTAAGTTGGAGTGGGTTCAAAGCAATCCTTAATAGCATCAGAGTTTGTAATGCATGTCAGAGAGTGGAGGGGCAAGTGCTGGGATGCACCATTGTCTGCCCACCTGTCACTTACCTGTCCCACTGAGGGGACCAGCCAACCAAAGAGTACTTAATCCATCACAGTTACCCCCAGTGTGACCCCAATTCTTTGACTACAACTTTTAATTTGGAGGCTAGTGTCTGAGTGTGTAAGAGTGTGTACAAGTGCTTGTGTGTATATGTACCTCACATATGTTTGTGCTTGCTAGTGTACACACTTGAGGACATCTCTCTGCTCAGGTGCGTCCATATGACTAAAGCAGCAAATCAGGATGCTGGGCCTGTGCTCAGCTCAGCAAACTGTTCACTGAATTGATGGCATATGCCCCAATGGAAGATTTTAACATATGACCGGATGTTTGCCAAGTTTAACCAAGTCAATGGATTCCTTGTGTTTTCTGGTCCCTATTAAAGATTAAATTTGGGGTGTGACTTTGGAGAACATGCCAGTGGTCTCACATTCTCCACCAAGCCTAAAATCACCAGAGTAGAGCTATGTTCTGTAATGTTTTCGGTGGCTGATGGTTTTCAGAATTAGATCATTAACCATTGTGCCGCCAGGGCTCCTTAGTTGTGAGCTAGTCCCTACGATTCAAGTAGATCAGACCTTTCTTCTGATGCTTCTCTGGGTGGACACAAACCACCAACCTTTCAGTTAGCAGCACAGCCCATCAGCTGTTTGCACCATCCAAGGACTCCCTACCAAGGTGAGCAGCTGTCAAGTAAAAGAAAATGGTACAACAAAGTCATGGAGTGTCAGGGATGAAGGAGTTGTTACTTAGGAGCTGGCCCAGTAGTTCCCAAGCCTAGCTGTTCATTAGAATCGCCTAGGTAGATTTTAATAACCAGTGATGACCTGGTCCGCCCCAGAGCAGCTGGATCAGTCTGCAGGAGTGGACTCTCTAGAGTAGAGCAAATGTTTTTTTTTTCCAAAGCTCCCTACACAGCTACAGTGTGTGGTCAGGGCTGAACATTGCTGATTTAATGCCAGACTTCCCATTTTAGATGCCTCTCAGAGAAACGGAAGGACTAGCTCACAACTAAGGAGCCCTGGTGGCACAATGGGTAAGCACTTAGCTGCTAACCAGAAAGTTGGTGGTTCAAACCCACCCAGTAACTCAAGAGGAAGACCTGGCAATCTGTTCCCATGAAGATCACAGCCTAGAAAATCCTGTGTTTCCTAGTTGGTGTCATCACCATGAATCGGGATTGACTTGATAGCATTTACCAGCCACTCACAGCTGGTTGGTGGTATAGCCAGAGACCCTCCTGAACGCACAGCCTCCTGATTCCCAGTATAGACTTAACCCGTTGGGCATGGACCCACTGAGCCCTGATGGCCTGGTCACATGCCCAAGTTATAACCCTCACACTCTAATCCTCACTGGGATTTCCTATAAAATACGTGCCTGACAGTTTACCATTTGCACACTGATCAATACTCACCTTTGTAGTGAAAGTTGTAAAAGACTTTGAAATGGATCCAGAATTACTGAGCATCCTCAATGGAGAAACAAGGAGTTGTCTGGTTATGTGATTCTCTGGGGTCTCTGGGCCTTTCACTATCTGAGTGATGTAACCTCTGTAAGTAATAGAACACTGATAGTAATGCAAATGTTTCTTGTCCACAGCAATGCAAGCTGAGTCTGGATATCCTGTGGGTATTGCCCAATTTTACATCTATTCAGCAGGTTTATTTCTGCATTCCTGATGGCCTGTATATGTATGATTCTTTCAAGTCTCCCAGCTTTAACCTCTTATTGGCTCCCTTATTCATTAACGAGTTTTCTTTTTTTAAAAAAAAAAACCTTTAACATATTGCAAAAACGGCAAGGAGGCCACATGTTCTGACCTTCTCTAATCCCACAAGAGGAAGACAGGATTACTAGCAGTAACCCAAGGCCTATTCCTACAAGGCCAGACATGCTGCCTCCCTCCAGCCCTTTCACCAACCGTTCCTCCCAAAGCACCCACCACCTCTCTCCTGGGTTCGATAATTCGCTGAAGTGGCCACACAGAGCTCACAGATTATGGGGTTTATTAGGGAAGCACCACAGGCTACAATTCAAGTTCAGGAAAAATGCTCAGTCTCTCTCCCAGCCTACCGTCCCTCAGCCAACAGTCTCTTTCCCAGCAGTTCTGGTCCCTCGGTGTCTCACTCAGCAATGTATGTCTCTTGTGTCTCTTTCCCAGCAGCACGTGTCTCTTTCAGGGGTGCGTGTCTTTTTCGGCAGCATGTCTTCCTCCACCAGCAGTCAGAGAGAGTTTTGCCTCTAGAAGGCCTCTTTTTGAGCCCGGCAGGGTGGTCCAACTAGCCAATCATAGCATCAGAACTCTAAGCACCTGAGAGAGAGTGGGCACCTCCCAGAACATTGTTTTGTGCCACTCCCAACAGAAATACTCCAGGTGGACACCTTCAGCAATCAGGAGCTCCTCAGTTGCTCATAGCAAATCCTACCTTGGGGTTTACAAAGACTTATGGGTAGCTCTGGTAGCATAGTGGCTAAGACACTTGCCTGCTAACCAGACGGCTGGCGGTTCAAACCCACCAGCCACTCCTCAGAAGGCAGGTTGGGCAATCCTACTTCCGTAGTGATACTGCCTCGGAAACCCAAGGAGGGGTCGCTATGAGTCGGGTTTGACTCGACGGCACATAACAACAACAACAAAATGGGTAGAAAAGCCACACTAAGTAATTTACTACACCACACATATATTTGTGCCATGTCTGTATGAGAGTTGTGATTATACTCTATTTTAAAAATTGTCTCAACACCTTTGCCTCCTACAGCTATTTCCCCATATTTGCTCTATTTTCTAGAATAAGGAGAAAAATTATTGAAGAGAGACAGATTTTTACACCAAGCAATTGCCATTTGAACTAAGAAAGCTATTGGAGTGGGGGATTCAAACCTATGGATGAGTCAGTTGGTTCCACCTGTGGCTGTATAAATAGTCATTTATTCCTTAGTGACTTGAGTTAATGTTGCTTCAAATTGTGACAGGCACACACACTTAAGAAAGACCACACTGGTTCAGGCTTTTACCTGGTCTAGCATTTAAAGCCCTTGTGGTCTGGTCTCTGTCTCATTGCTTCCTCCTTCCTCATCAGTCAAACCGGATTTCCCTCTTCCACTTCCATGCTTCTGATCACACTGATCCTTAGAATCTCCTACCCCCACTGCTCCTCATTCACTTTATACATTTAAGTTCTGTCCAGCCTTAAAGACTCATTTCAAATACTTGCCCTTCCAGGAAGCTCTCCCTGTTCTCCTAACAGGATGGAACTTTTTCTCCTGAATTTGACATGGCCTGGTCTCAGTGAGTCAGAATTGACTTGATGACAGCAGGTTTGGTTTGGTTTTGCTTTCTTGTTAAGGTCCCTGGGGAGTGCAACATTTTAGCGCACTTGGTGGCTAACCAAAAGGTTGGTGGTCTGAGTCCACCAAGAAGTGCCTGGGAAGAAAGGCCTGGAGATCTACTTGTGAAAAATCAGCCTTTGAAAACCCCGTGGAGCACAACTCTACTCCAGCACACATGGGGTCACTAGGAATCAGAATCGGCTTGACAACAACTGACTTGGTTTTTTGGTTCTGCCATTCTTCCTGGTCTTATACTGTAGAATGGGCATCACACGCCCCTGTGTCTCCAGTGCTAGTGAACCAGGCCCCTCTCTCAAAAGGCAGGCACAGCAGCATTCATTTGCTGCAGGGCCTGCACACACTCCTGTCTGGGAGCGTATGGCTTCTGTTGTAGGAGCCGTTGGCATGGCTGGAGACCAGGCATGTGTCTGAGCAGCTTCTCTTGAACATTACAAGCCATTTGCCTTTTGTTTAGTTAACTTATTGCTGCCCTTTAACTAGGTTCTCGGTAGAGGCGCCTGCATACTCTGTGTCCTGGCTCTGAGGGTCCTCGAGTGTGTCTCTGTGAGCCTCAGCGCCATGGAGACAGCACAGCATGGGCTGGGGCTCATTGAATCCATCCTCACGTTTGTAGAAAAGATTGCGGCCCAGAGAGAGGAGAATTTCTCAAGGTCAGAAACCCAGGAATGGAGCTGGCACCAGAACCCAAGGCTCCTGAATCTGGATTATCCTTGCACTTGCCCACTTTTCTGATTCTCCCTCTAATAGGTTGCCACCAAACCAAGCTAAAGACTTAGGTGTCATATTTTGATTGTTAATAGAGAGACCTGGTTAGGGTATGTGTTTATGAGCATCTGTGTGTGTGTTTTCTGTTTTCCCATGTTATTTAGGAAAATAATCTAGCTGAAAAGCTGTGTGTATGTGAATACATCTGTATTTACATT